GGGATCCTTTCGGCCCAACCATCACTGACAAAGACATCTCTGCCTTGGTGCTGTCGCTCGAGACAAGGAGCGGAGGTGCTGCAGTGAACAACAAGCGCAGTGAGCAGGGATGGGACCCCCTTGAGGTTTTCGAGGTTGCTGTTCTCGATGCCAGCGAAGAAGACAGCATCGATGAGACCTTCCAGAGCAAGCTGAGCAGCACCGAGATTCGTCGAAAACGAAGCGAACGTGTTCAATCCAGAGCGAAAGCGTGACCCGATAGGCGTGGCCGGGCGGGTTGATGGCGAGACACGTCTTTGAGTGTTTGCCGTGCTGGAACAGGCCCAGGCGATATGTGAGTAGAGTTTTCGTCGGCACGAGAGGTCGACAAGTCGACGAGGCAGGAGGTCATCTAGTGTCATTTTCTGTGCGACGATCTACGACAGCTGCGTGCGCCATAGCTACACGACCGCGCAGGTCCGCATGACGTTGCCAGGGCGAGTATAGGCTTGTGAAGCAACACGTCGATCTGACCGGCAGTTCCACGCATGCATCGTCATCGGCGCATGTACGAGCGGGATTGCGGCCATGTCCTCTCCGTCCCGAATTTGTGCGATGACCGAATTCGGGTCGCTTGCGCCTACACAGATGCTTGTATACTATTTACATATTGCACGCCGTACTTCGTGTGCTGTAATGGAACTTGCATGCTATCATCTCCTGCCGAACAGGACCGATGACGCACTGCAACAGCGTACGCACATTGCGAGACATACAGACACCCGTTTCAGCCCACTATGAGGCTCCTAAAGCTCCGTGTCGTCATGAGATGCCCATCGCTTCAATGGCGTTTGCGCCATCCCAAGTACACGGCAGTGGAATCGGCCGGATGACGCATCTGAAGCGCTTGTGACGCCAATCAGCCGACCTCCAGATGCATGCTTCGTTGGCAACGCATCGAGACCATCCATGGATGGAAATTCGTGTAGTGGGCTGTGGGGAGCAGGCCTTCGGGCCTCGAATCAGCGCAGGCGTAACAGCCAGCCCTAGCGAATTTGTGCAGTAGTCCACGGCGGCCATTCGACTCTTCTTCGCGGGAGGAGCCATGCATGTTTACCGTCCTGCTTATGTAAATGCAGACGCTAGTGATCATGTGAGACGTTATGCCCGTTGCAGTTTAATGCATCGCGGTTTGGGCGAGGGCGTACCGGGGTGCACGCTGCAAGTTGCAGGCGGCGTGTCCAGTCCCAGGTCGTCTTCGCAACTCTACGCTTAGCTGACTGCTGGCAGAGAGGTCATGCATTTCTTTCTCCGACCACGCCCCTCTGGCTGTCCTTCGCTTGCTATCCCATAGATCGGTGCCGGCTGTCGGATAACACCACGTTGTCAGTTGACTCGACTGTCCCGCTGTCGCTACGCTCACTACCACCTGCCATTCCCTCCTCCCGATCCGGCCCGAACGCTGCTGCCCTGCATTGAGAGTATATCCGCTGTGCGGTGCGCTCCTAAATCGCGCTGGGAAGCTTCCTGAGCAGAGCTTCTTCGGAGCGGTCGTCATGAATGTGACCACTTAAAATGGGTATCCTCGATCTCGCCGACGAGCTTCTTCGCATCATCCTCGAATATGTTGCGAGCGAACCAGAAAAACCAATAAGTCTGGAGCGCCGCGCATACCTGTCGCAGGAATCTTTCAAGCTGCCCCTCCCACCTGAGCCCGACGATGCCGAGACGATTGCGAGCTTTAGGTAAGTGGTATAGCCGCACGGAATGCATGTGAGACACACACTGACTTCGTATCCTCACCTTTGTAGATTGACTTGCAGAAGATTCAGCAATTTGGTGAGTACGGCTGTACGAAATGCACGTGAGACATGTACTGAGCCTCTGCAGGGTGTCATCCATCAGTTCTCGCGCGTTACGACACGCTTCTCGCAAAAGGGACTCGAAAGATTAGAGAGAATAGCTGGCCAGCCTCACATTGCCGGCCGTGTGAAGAAGTTCAGTTACATGGTGCCATTTTTCTACGGTCAAGGACGAGAGCGCATACAGGAGCTCCTCCATACACGGCCCGAGAGTTTCAGCTTCCCTGATATCGAAAAATTCCAGAAAAAGGTGAACGAGCAAACCAGCCTTCTGAACAGCAGGAAAGATGCACATATCCTGCATTTCGCGCTTCAGCGATTCACTTCACTCCAGCATATCCAGATCCTACGCCTGCAGGACCAGGAAGATGCCGTGTTAATCACGTACATGCGGGGTCACAACGAGTTGAACGGTCTAGTACCGACATGGCCACCGGCATGCTTGCATAGCGCGAAAACAATCGGTCAAGCAAGTAATATCCGTGTACGGATTGATAGGAGACATTTACTAACTTCGACCTCGGTCTTCAGGCCCTCCTTGAGTCCGAATCGCCATGTTCGCGATTCTCATCCCCCATGCTAAGCCCGCAGAGCGTACTAGGTGCCGCTAGCAATCCGCCATCAACCCTGGGAATCCTTGCCGAACGCCTGACCTGTCTAGAGCTACATTTCGATGACAGCACGGACCTAGACGTTCGGATGCGACATCTCACCTCCCTGTCCAAGGCATTGTTTACTGCGGCTAAGAATATTGAAGCCGTGCATATTGGCTTTCCTTCATACCGACCACTCACATTGCGGCTAGAAGAGCTTTTCCACAACGTGAAGTGGGAAAAGCTGCAGGGTACGTTTTGCGTCTCTGCATCATGAGACATACACTAACCTGATATCTCCGTCTTTGCAGCTTTTGGGATCCAAGCCTGGCGTCTCAACGCAGATGAAATTCTGGGGATTGCCCGGCGACACAGAGATACATTACGTGGTTTGCGTCTGCGTGATGTACTCTTGAAAGAGGGAAGCATGTGGAAAGACGTGCTTCCCTGTCTACGCGATGAGCTCACAAGGCTTGACTGGATTTCTCTTAGGCGGATTGGATATGAGAAGCAAGTAATATCCGTGTACAAACGGTTGTGAGACTTTTACTGACTTTGTACATCAATCTTTAAGGCACTTCGACGAGCAGTTCGTTATGGGAGCCGAAGTACCAGAAGACGACCCTCTTGGAAGCGACAGTAGCGACGAAAGCGATTACGAATACGAACACGAACATGACGATCAGTCTAACGGGAATGACGCTGATGGCAGTTCAATAGCTGACACGGAATCTGACGCAGAGACCGACGAGCCTGAACAGGGTGGTAAGTTCTGGCTTTACGAAGTGCGTGTGACATATACTGACCTCTACAGGCACCCTTTCCTTCCCGCCTATGCCCGATACCCCAGCCTCGATTACATGGTGCAACTGCAACGGACACATGGATGGCGTCGACGTCTTAGGAGACGACGACGGAATCATGGTCACCAATCAGCAGCGCAAGTTCTGGGAGAAGTGGGTCGTAAGGAAGATCTGCACCGAGCAGCATGGCCACAAATGAGCGGCCGAAGAAACCACCAGAAAAGGAAGCGAAGCTATGCGTAATAAAGCCGCAACAACATCTGTTGGGTTGCGTTGCGTGAGGCGGGCGTAAGAAGAAAAGCAATTATCCATCGAACCGTGTTGCAGCCCTGGAATCATTATATGCAGGCGCGATCACGTTTTGGATCCCGTATGCGGTCTACGGACCGCATATGCATGTGGAGCAGCAGCCACAGCACCATTGACGGGCGCTTATGCGACAACCCAACAACCCGTCACCTGGTCACCTCCACCCCCATCTTCGTCAGTCGTGCGAACGCAGACTGTGCCGTATCGTTGCAGGTTTTTCTGGACCGGACTAGTCGATCTCACGCATTCGCTTCTTTAGGATGGTCGGACGAATCATGCGGCAACAGGACCAGGAACTCCAACCTTTTCGGCTATCTGTCTTGAACCCGTACTTTGACTAAAGCATAGCGCCGGCGCAGCGAACGACACTTTCGCATACCACTTGTTCGAAAGGGATGGTTCACGTCCAAAGTCTTCTGTTGCACCAAAAGTTGTGCGCTTTGCATTCTGCTTTTCTATCCTTTTTTTATCAGCTCTTCGACGCCAGTAACGAATGTAACGTAGCGTGGGAGGAATCTGCTTTTCAATTGATTGAATCATTATAGGTATCTTCACTTTCTGCTTCTTGTCTATCACCTGCTGTCGCGGCGATGTCATCGAATAGCAAAAGTGGGGCACAGTCAGAAGATACATACGCTCACTGGTCCAGCTTCCACTTGCGGATCTTTGCTGCAAAGCAATGGCCCGTTGTTCTATTCGTTCTCACCTATACCGGTCCTCCAAACGTGCTCGTCAAGTCACAACACGGCGAAGCGAGCGGTGAGATTCAGCTATCGATGGCGTCATCCCACTATACGGCATGCGTTGATCTCCACCCGTCTTTCTCTTCTACATTCATGAACAGAGCACACTCACAGAGATTTGATTCTCGCATATAATCTCTAACGCTGCACTGACAAGTCAAGATATGGTGAAGGACATCCCGGCAAGCCTCACTGCTAATGCCGTGGCAGAACAAGCAAATTCCACTCAGCTATTTCATCGACCTGAGCTCTACCCACCTACTCCATGATACTGAATAGGCTCTATCAACACTCAGGAACAATTTCTTTCGTATGTCTGGCTTTTCGCTTGACACACGTAGGCGCCCTGGCTCACTGTCCTGGAGAGTGCCGCACGGAGCCGCCTCTTTCACCTCACCACGCGAAACCGCGCTCATGACACGTCGGACGCGCAGCGACAAGCTTCTATGGCGCGTAGACGCGACTTGAGTCCGACGCGCCTCGAGCTGGATGCCTGGTGGGTTGAAAACTCTTCAAACCGCATAACATCTTCTCTCTTCCACTCTTAGCCGACCACAACCTTCGCTGTTTCGTCTAGCATTCATTGCATCCGAAGCAGCAAATACATACTACATCGCAATGACGAGACACGTTTGGAGAGCAGCAGATGCCGGCGTGATGCTGTGGGAACCGGTGGTGGCAGCGACACCTCCAGCTCCGCACCAGTCGCAGATGTCGCAGCAATTGCATGAAGTAACCGAAGCCGACATTCAAGGTAAGTGGTTACCAGACATCTTTCTGCTCTTTCTTTATGAAGCAGGCACTGACAACTTCATAGTATCCTTTACAAGCAGCTACGATGACACCGAGCAAGACTTGGTGCTTCCTTCGATCGAAGATGTTTCTGAGCCATGTATCAAGAGCGAGCCTGGCGAAGACATTGATGCAGTCGGTTCCTCGACAGTCGGTACCTCCGCTTCCGACAAATCTAAGCAGCGTTCTCCTTCGTACGATTCTGAAAGCACACTACCACTGTCAACTCCTTGTCCGTCGGACGAAGACAGAGCTGTTCCTGCTATACTGTGCAGTCCTGAAAGAACGAGCCATCACTTCAGCGTTGGCAATACAGCACCCACACTACAAGTAAGAAGGACCCTGGACTTCGGTATGCCAGCCCTTCGCCTCACCAATGACTATGTACAACAAGCCTCTGAGCCTAGCGACTTCACTTCGCTGGCAGCACTGCGAAGGTTGGAACGAGACCCTCCGCATCACTGGCATGAAGACGAACGAGAGCTACTGACCATACTTTATCGATGGTACGAAGACACAAATGTGGCAACCATCCCGAAGGTCTTCAACGCCATCACCGGCCTCAACCTCAGGCTTAATGTCATTCGCTATCAATTCGAAAGCCACCTCATTCTGTATGGCGGTCGTGCGTACCCCGAGTTCGATCGAGTCATGAGAGTCCCATTCTACGACCCGGAACACAAGTACGACGAGATTCATGCGATCATCGAAGACACTGCCTTGGAATCTGGCATTGACTTGTCACGACGTATAAACGAGGTGAGCTACACATCTGGATTGGCGAGAACTGCCAAGTCTCCCAAAACGAGGAAACATTACAAATCCTTAGTTAGACGTGCGCTAAAGAGGGAGAAGGAGAGAGCACGCGCCATTCGCACGCCGGCTCCGGAAGATCTACCACTTCAGGCTTTACAGCTCGGCGGGATGGCACTGATTGAGCAAGATAATGAGGAAACATGGTCAGACATCGAAGGCTATCATAAACCACCCATCACAGCTACGCAGCCAACACTCCGGACTCCACCTGGCAAGAACACGATTGGATTTCGCGTTTGGGATGCAAACAGCCGAACGATATTCGAAGACGAGACGGGCTTCGTAAGCCAAGCCTTCTCGATATGGAGGGGCGAGTTTCCGCCGCCTTTCTCCCCGGACGGACAAGGTCAACAGGCTCTGATGCTCTTGACGAACCTTCATCTGTCCATGAGTGGCGGCGCCTCGGCTTTTGTCTCAGTGTCGACGAGTCTCTTGCAGGCACTGGTCAAGGCCTCAACCATGTTTGAGCCCAGAATCGCCGTCAGTACGTTGAATTCCCACACCATGTATCACGTGGGTCTCATGCTAATCATGGTCGTTTTCTGTAGTTGCGCTCGATCATCCACTGCTCACAGAACCACACAAAACTTTGCCAGCTGTTGACGTGATGCGGATGTTGAAAGCGGAAGGCCAAGCATGGTGGGCAAGATACAAGGGCCATGCAGGTGAGCTTCCGAAAAGTCCTCTATACTGCGTCTATACTAATATGTACCAGAGCGCATGGTATGGGCTTCTGTCCCAGCTGCAGCTGTGCTGTCACATTTCCCGCTTTCCGACCTCAAGGTTTTATCGCGCCACAACCAAGCTTGCGATGATATCCTCAACCTGCGGGATATACAATCCGGCCGAAAGACACAATACGTCTCCTCGCTATTGCGCGACAGGAACACAATCATCAACATCCGCACGGCACGGGCTATGGCTGTAGTATGTCGGGCCTTCAAGATGCACCGTGTCGGCGTTAGCATTGCGCACATCCAAGGACTGGTATCATCGTTGGTGGATTCTTTTCAATTGAAGCACGTCACAAGCGATACACCCCGCATGTCCATGATGATGGCCAAAGCGTTCGCCGTGTCTCTCGTGTCGCAAGCTCATCTGGACCCTGATGTTGAGACCGCTTTCCAGGAAGGCGTTCAGCAAGGCACTGTTAGTATTATCCGTATACAGACTATTGTGAGACATTTACTAACATGATACATCGACTTTTAGGCTACCATCGAGTTCTACACCCGACGTCGACCCGTGGTACCTCGACGACGGAGTAGCTGAGAACGTCTCAGCAACCTTCTCGCGCCATCAAGACTACCAAGGTACAACTTATCTCAGATGTTACAGTTCTTTGGCGATTACAAGAATATGGGCATGTACGAGGAATAGCTCTCAGCATGACTTATCGAGAACATTTGGCGAAGCGCTAATGTCGTGTGATATCCGAGCTTTGTTAAAGATGTCATAGATTGCATATGGATTTATTGGAGTGAAGAATAGTTGGTAGCATACTACATAACGCAGAGACATGCGACTTTAACCATACCTTCCGAAACGTTGAGCGTACAACAGTGCAGCTCGTCGTTCAGACGCTTACTCGCTATCAAGCCTCCTTTCCCTCGTCTCAGACCCAGAACCTTCAGAAGCCTCATCACCCCCTTCACTCTCAACCCCATTCGTCCCCACACCATTCGTCTGCCCCGCCTGCGCCGCACGGTCCCTCGCCGCAACATGCCTCATCATCTCCTCCTCCATAGTCCCCCTCTGTCTGCGAATCTCCCGCCACATTTCCTCCACTTCCGCGATCTCCGCGTCCATACTATCTTCACTACTCTCTTCACTATTTGCCGTGCTTTGCTCTTCCACACTTCCCCTCTCCACTAGCAAATTCTCCCTAGTGGCTCTCCTCATATCCCTCGCATCGCGACGCCGCCTAAGCGCTGCAGTAGGGGTTTCGTAAGCGCCGTTACGGTGGAGCTCTACGCTGGCTGATAGCTCACCGTTCGTAGGCGGGTTGGAAGTGGGGACCGTGTCGCCGTTTGTACTCCCAACGGCGGAGTTGACAAGCGTGGTTCCGCTTAAGGATGCGCTCCGAGAAGAGCGCGTTGAAGACTCTGATGAGCTTCTCGTACCATCCCCAACATAAACACTTGGGGGAATAATCTGTATCGCTGTTGCGTACCCATTCGTCGTAGTACCTGTCGCAACATGTCTACCGTCGTTCACATCTGGATGCGGACGGAGAGGGAATTCCTGGTCTATTCCACCTTCGGCGCGGATCGCGCGAAGGCGTAGAATAGGGCCGTCGAGCGTGTATGATACGGAGCCCCAGTCCCCAATTGCTTCGTTGAGTTCTGGGGTGGAGAGGCGGGGACGCGGTCGGATATCATCTGGGTCTGCGGTCACTCGCTCTGGGGATGGGTTTTGAGTGTAGGCGTTGGAGGTGTGGGTTCGACCATTTGTCAGGGGAGCGCCATTGGCATTATTGAAGTTTTGCGTTACAATACCGACGTTGATGTGGAAGGTGTTTGTAGTTCCGTTTCTGTTGTCGTTGGTGCTTCTTCCGTTTCCGCGACTATCACCAGTTCGATACTCGCTATCAGGCTCACGAATCCAAACATCTTCGCTCAGATCTTCGACGCCTTCGTGATCGACAAACCCGTTTACACCCTCAAGGTGAACAGCCGCCGTAGTCAACAACGTACGACGGTGATTGTTCGGGTCAGTGTAACCCAGACCCATCGCTATGGTGTATCTAACTATGATATCCCTGATGACCCTGGAGCCGATGGAAGGTCTCAAGCCGTACAGAACGACGAGGAGTGGCCGAATGATCTCTCGTGCGTCGTCGTAGTCCTCTTCATGAGAGCCGTCAGTCGTGGGTTCATAGATGTAGCCATAGAAATGATTGTCATTGGAGGGAAGATGGTTGTTGACATGACCGTTTGGTAGTGAAGGGTACTGAATGTTGCCATTGGTCGAGGGAATATGAGTATAGCCGTTAGTGTAGCCGTTGGGCTGATGAGAATGTCTTTCTCCACTGGGCATGTTGGTCGTTAAACGAGTCGGCTCGGTTTCATACCAACCGTCACGGGGCGCGGCATGTCCATTCGTCGTAACGTCACGCCTCGAAGCATTATCCAAGAACGATCTTTCGTATTCCTCGATGATAGTGCGCATGGTTCTCAGTCCTAGTTGTGGTGTTATATCAGTCAGAACATTCGTTAGGACAGTCCGGCGCCACAAGCCTCCAGGATCATTTCGAATGACTATCCTTGTGGGACGGGGGCCGCGTGGGGAGGGGTAGAGGTTATTCAATCTATGACGTATGGGGGAGGATGTGATGGTAAAGATATCGTAGTTGGTGGTATCAAGACGATGTATTTGAGTATGTCCATTCGTTGTGGGAGTATGGCTGTCGTCATTCGTCAGGAGCGTATGTATGTCTTCCTCGACTAGCATTCTAGCACGTGTCTCTACGTTCCCACCGGCGTGTACGGCTTGTGTAAGTGTGCGCGGTTCATCTGTCGATGGCGTTGAACCTTCTTCAGGGCTGGGTGGTAAAGCACTGGCCGCAGCTGCTTCCAGTGCTTCCTCATCGTCCAGTGTTGTGACTTCTCCGCCCCGTATGCCATACACCTCCGAAACATGGAGCGGCTCATTGAGAATGCCGTCGGTGGGATATCCACCGGAGCAGCGAGTCCTGTTTATCATCGACCTCTGTATCATACGGCAAGCCAGCTCTCTGGCCCGCTGCTCTTCCAGAAATTCGTCGACATCAAACGGCTTTCGTACAGGTGTTTCCCCCTCTTGACGCTTCTGCACTTCTCCGTCTCCATCGTCTTCCATTTCTGCTTCATCGCCAGCCTCATCTGCTAGATCTTCGGATTCTTGCTGTCGCCTTCCCATATCTCTTACTTCGTTTTCCAGCCTCCTCGTTCTCTGCCTTTCTCGATCAACCATCCTTCTCAAAGCTCTGACTTCTTCAACGAGCGATGGTATAATATCCTCAAGATCTTCGAGGTTGTCCACTCGATCTTGAGTCTCCGGATGTGCTTCAGGGGCCCGGAAGTATGTCGCTAAAGAGAAGAGAAAGGAAGATATGGCTAGGGCGGGAAAGGTGGCCGTTAGGAGGATGATGAAATTGCTACTGTTCATTCTGTGTTCGTACAGTTATTGTTTCTCGTTTGTGGAGAAGGGATTTATGGATATCAGGAGCGTGAGATATGGCTTTTGAGGGCGGAAGCCTCCGATGAAGTGTCGAGTTGCGATACATGTTCGACATGCTGGACGCTTGAAGTTGTGGACCCGTCAATCAAGTCGGTCACTGTGGGTGTCATTCTGCGCGCTGGTCACAAGACATCTTCAACCTGATGGGCCTGTGAAGGAGTCAATCAATGAATGCAGCTTGTAACGGTTACAGTATTCTTCACCCGCACTCGTGATAGCGTTGAGTCACACAATAAATGATACAAGCTACCTCTCCTCCACACGACATCGTAAAAATTTCCTCATGATCAAGTCTTCCGTATGCCGTGGCTATTCGCCTTGTCGACAACCACGACATCACACACACAAATGCAAGTTCGGCTTTGCACAACTAAGCCCGTAATGTTTGATGAATGTACAGATTGGCATTATATTACTTGTGAAGTGTATGTATGTACAAAGAAACCCCGGTCATCGTTTCATTCGATGTTTAACCAGAGGCAGCAATGACCAAGGTGTACTGGGCAACCTGCGAGCAGACGAAGTCGTTAGGACCGTTACCACCGGCGTGGCAGTAGGTGGGAACAACGCCCTGACCCCAGAAGCCGACACTGTTCGCATATGTTAGTCTATCGTCCAAAGTCTGTGTCACTTGATGTACGTACGCAGTGCCAAGCTCGTGGTAGAGAGTGATGGGGTAGTCGCCGTTGATGTCCTTGGTCATGGCGAAACGGTACTTGCTGTCGCCGCAGTTGACGATAGGAGCGGGGAGAGTAGGGTAGGGTCCGCCGACGCAGGAAAGGTCGGTGGCGTTGCGGCCGTCAATCTTGAATGAGACGGACTGGAGGGTGCCGTTGTTCTTGCGGATGGTGTAGTCCTTGAAGTTGACGTTCTCGTAGCTGTTGACGTCTGGTGGGCCCTGGCAGTGAGCCGGGTTAGGGCAGTCGGGGGTCTGGGCAGCGGGTGCGGCCATGGCGGCGGCACCGAAGAGAGCGGCGAGGGTGAAGAACTGCATCTTGACTGATTTGAGAGGTCTGGTGGTGTTGATAGGTGAAGTGTTTGGAAATTAACTGCTTGGATGATGAGTACAAGATATGGTGGCTGGAGCCGTACTTATATCTCTGCGAAGATCTTCATTACCATCTCAACGTCACTTAGTCGAGCGCTCGAGCAACAACCAACAATGCTCATGGATTCGGTCATACCTCCTCGTATTTCTCACCGTGGTGGGTTGCATTCGGGCAATGATGTTGCCCCCCGGACGGGCGTGCACCGGCGTAGGCACAAATCTCCGAGCCTAACGTGTGGACCCCTTGACCGCTAACAACTGCTGTGATGTAAGTGGCATTGATCGTCGAACAACAAGGCAGGTACCTCGTATACTGCAGTTGCGCATGCTCTGATGGATATTGCGGCTTGATGCATTGTTCTCGTTTTCGCATGTCGGCACGTTGCCCAGGTGAGCTCTGCATTGACTGAGACGTCTGTGATCGTGAATTCGTTCACCGCAACTGCTCCTGTAAAGAGCCAGCACATCAACGTGGAATTCACCTTGGCATTAGTGATGCAGGAACCACCTGCGAGCGGTGACATTTTTGGGTCCGCGAAGCTGAGCCTCAACTTTGGTATGCAGGGTGCCGGAGCCGCACGCCACACCCGCTGACGCCACAAGCAGCGTGGCCTACGAGGCTGGCAGTTGACGTGACGTGGGCTTCGCTGTTTAATCGAGCGCCACATTACATCAGGTTCCGTTTGCAAATGCGAATCCGGTCGGCATGACTGTTGTGGTGAGTGCGCAAGCCTAGTTCTAAAGATAGTGGCACCTGCGTTGCACCTAGCGACGGTATGCATGATGGGAAAAACACCTCAACGTCGTGTGGTGTGTTTCGTGTTAGGAGGCGTTTGTGGAGCGCATGTTTGTTGAGACTTTCGATAGTGCGACAAGTTTGCGGGCCCCTAATCTAAAAATGGCATGATGTCATTGGGCACGCTGTGCAAGACTCGAAAGTTCGACGTCAATTTCTATGGACAACACACTGAACGTGGAAACGTACGCGTGGAATGCTTTTTTTTTTCGTGCTGGCAGCTCTCAAGATAGCACATCCGTCAAGGTGACGATAAACGGTTTGTCGTCGCTCTGAACACGCCAGAACAAGCGTCTCGGCAGTAGGAGACCGCGTTTTGCTGAGACGCGACCTAGCACTGTAGGTTGTTATCGCTACCAAACAACTTGCACAGCTACTGCGCAGTCGAGGGGACGCTCATCGGGGTTATCAACGCGAATACTGGTGTATCACCTGACAGTGTTGTGGGGAGCAGGCTTCGAGAAGTCGCACCGAATCAACGATTGATGATCGCAATCTCGTGGACGATAACTATCCCAACCTCGCAAGTATTAGCGACCTTCCTCGACAGTTGTACGGGATACTTGCTCTCAGAAGGCGGTACACTTCTCCGCACAAGTCGTGTCCAGTCGCATATCATTCAGGCAAATTCCGTGTTGATTGCAGGCATAAGCGATGTTGTGGAACTGGGTGAAGGAGGATGGTTAGGTCGACTCTGCTATTGTGCAAGCGCAGCCCGTCTCATAACCATGATTGCATGTTCAGAGAATGGAGACAAAGACGCTATGTGGAAGTGGCAAGAGCGAAGAGGCGTATATGTAGAAGATCGTTGCATCGTTTGGTTATGGTATGACTACTGTTTTGCTAGAATGAGAGAAGCACACCAAACAAATGAGAGGGTATATAACATGCTTGTTGCGACCTTTTTGAACTCCGGAACACCATGCATGAAGCTCGCTAATAGCAAAGGAAGTAAAGCACAGAAGATGAGAAGAGCGTGAAAGTTGCGCTGCATTTAGTGTCGCCAAAGAGTTGACAATCGGCGCTCTGTCTTGACGCCGCGGTCTTCCTCGTTGCGGGGTCTGAGTCGCGAGAAGGGCGATTTGAAGGCGGTCGGAATCTTGGCCATGGATGGCGAAGTAGGACCTGTCGGTGATCCAGGATTAGATCGTGCTTTTTGTTGTGTGAGAGTAGCTTTGTATTGCTCCCAGTAGCCGGTGGGTGTTGCGCTCACAGGCGTGGAGAACTCTGAATCTTTCGCCGGCGATGTGGCATTATCCAAAACTGACGAGGTAGATTTGGATCTGTTTCGATACGGAAGATTGGGTCTCTTATCGGCAATGAGAGCGCGTGCCTCTTCGGCAGTGAAAGTGGGTCGTGTGTCGGGAAACAGATTCATACGGGGTCGGGTGGGCGACGGCGGAGTGGAGACAGCCATACCAATGGTTGAGTCGACTTGGGAGTTCTCATGGACATCATGAGTGACTTCTGACTCGTTCTTCTCGAAACCAAACTCAAAGTCGGCTTTAGGGGACTGTTGTCGTAGGAGAGGATGTATATGGCTTTGTGCCGTGAGTGACATAGTGCCAGGTGACTCAAAAGAGACAAGTCCACCCAGAAGCCCACTCTCTTCTGCAGCGCTGACCTTACGAGTAGGGCTATCCGCAGATGCGCTGGACTTAGATGAAACCACACTCGCGCCTTCGCTCCATAGGGAGCTTGCTGTAGAGCTAGTACTGTCTGAACGGCTAGGAGGCTCCCCAGTGCGCGCCAGGTACAGTGGATATGTGGCACGCTCGAGCTGAACAGAATCAAGTAGGGGTGTTCGGGGACGTGCGGCCGTGCTTGCTGTAGAACCCTGCCTACTACGAGTGACTGAGGGTGTTCGTGATCGGAGCCAGGAGGTATCCAGTCCAGCTCCGCTCTCTGCAGTGATTGCCGTGGAATGCTCGGAATAAACAGAAGAGGTCTGGCGAGCGTGATCTTGCGAAAATGGGACAGAGTCTTTCGATCTGTCGCTAGTTTCCTGAACAACACAAGCAGGCTTCTGTGTAGTTTTCATTGTGAGGCTATTGCTCCGCGAGCCTCGAGTAGAAAGTGACCGTCGCGCTAGAGAACGCACAGAGGACGAACGAGGTAGTTGGGATATCCTAAGGGGCGCAACCTCCATGGATCCACGTCGACTCATGTTTTGCGGCGTAAAGTAATCTTCCCTTTGGCAGTCTGGCTCTATCGAATACAGACTGCTCTGAGAGTCATCAAGACCTTCGTCGATGGCCACTGGCGTCTTAGCTGCAGGTGACGCCAAAGGAGTCGTAGCAACGCTATTGGTAGTCGAGGTGGGCTCCGCAACGTAGCACAAAGCGTACTCCGGGCTTTCAGCATCGCGAACTTCTTTTGGCGCCCTCAGAGCGGACACAAGATACTGGAGAGTGCCATAGATCAAGAGCCACCTGACTTTACGCGCATCTGTTGCTGGTACCTTGCCCTGGCGTTGACTGGGGCTGGTAGCATGCGCCTTCTCAAAGTGGATATATGCCTGCACGATGTTGGACTCCATCGCACTGGGCTCTAAAACGTTCGTTGCCGCTGCTAGAGCACCATGCATGGTGTCCTGTACATGCGTCTTGTTGTACTGCGAGGCCAGAACCAGCTGTCTCAAGGCCTTTTGAGAGTTCGTTTTCTGAGAATTTGTTCTCTTCAGTGGCGAAGTGTATGTTGGTAGGAGAGGTAACGGGTGCGGCTGAGACTTGAAGCCATGTCGTTGATCGAACGTTGCAATGTTCTGCAAGACACAGATGCCACCGCTAGCTGGTCTTTGGGAGGAGATATCGGCAGTCGAGTCGGTGTCTACGAGGTAGTCGTACAGGTTCTGGAAGTCATAGTACATAGACTTGTACAGAGCTTTCGGGAAAGCGGCACCCCGTGGTGGTGGCCAATAGCCAAATTTGTCCACGTAGAAGGTATGCAAGAAGCGGCGGAACCGATCGAGATGGCTCCTAGCACCGTCCGTCAATCCGAGGTGAGTCGGCGAGAGGTCTTCCTGTAGAAACCTGCTCAGTGCGGTCGATACGCGCCCGAGATGGCCGTCAACTTCGAGATGTGCGCGGGTGATCAATGCTTTAGTGAGCTTCGAAGTCAGCTACAATATGTTAGTACAGCAGCTTGAAGCAGTTGACGAGTTTCATACAACGTATTCCGGACTGAGAACTAAGCTGTCGCTCATACCGACGCAATGAGAAAATGCATCGACCCAGATGTCTCTAAGTTTGAAGTGCTCTGCGTAGTAGAGGCTTGCAAGAGCATAGTCCGTGCACTCCACCAGATCCCGGTACCCTTGGTTCTCAGCGTAGTCCAGAAAGTCTTGGTGGTTGTTTGGATGACTTGGACGGAAGTGGTGTAACCGTTCCTGGACGTCTACGAATGCTTGGCCCATATGATCGCCTACGAGTGGTTTACCCAGAAGGAAGGCAAAGAAGTTGCGAGTCGCAATGTGCCGTCTAAATGAATTCTCTCGTGATAGTTCCTCCGGAACCGGGATGAAGAGCTCGACGATGCTGTGTTCCCCGTTGGCGTTGGTAAGGGAGCTGGGCATTCGCCTCAGGTGCTGGAAAGCGGATCCCGGAGCAGACGCGATCTGCGCATCACATAGCTGGAGCATCGCCTCACACTTCTTCTGTCGTAGGAGTCTGAACGGAATGCAGAAGGACGGGCCACGACGCGAAACTCCTTTCGCGTGTAGATGTACGAGGCAGTCTCCTTCCTCATACCACAACTCTGGATCCTTCGGGCTTGTTAGCTTAGCTTCCACATGAAAGCTTCGTACATACCCTGCGTAGTCCATGATCCCAATCGCTCACAGTACGGGTCAAGCCTGACCAGCGTTGTACTTTGGTTGGATGCATCGGCTTTGAAGGTGTAACAAGGCAGCTGGCGGACCTTGGTCGCGTTTCGGTAGCCCTGAGAGATCCCTTGCCGGTGCTATCTTCTACTAATGTAGAGGCAACGCGATCGCTAACCGCGAAGCTATGACGTGCGGCTGTAGGTGGGCTGGTATGGTGAGGTAGTGTAGATCCACTTGTCGATGCCGCGGAGACTACCTGATTCAAGGTCCTAGGGTCATCGAGACAAAGGGTACGAGAAAGGGACGATGTGCGGGCGGGGATTAGATATCCATGAGGCTCTTCCCCAATGCTAGCCTGACAAGACGGGATCGCTTCCGAAGCCATGCTGATCTAAATAGGAGTACGCATGTGTAGTACCACAGACTGAGTTGCTCAACGAGCGGCGGCAGGGATGCCTAGTCTGCCGTGATGGAGTCGAAACTAAGCAGAAGTCTGTCGCAGCCGGGCGTGGGACAAAGCAACTATTGTATGTCGACAAACCCTTGTCGCGCCCTCAGCTGTCGTGACGGCTGGGACGCGTCGCCGTCCGGCTCATGATGGCGTCTTTTGGTTGGCGAGGCTGCGTCTTGCGAGCCCGATTGAGCGTCTTGATGGGGCGATCTTGCCCAGATGGGGGATCGACCGCTCGTGGCTTGCGCGGGCTGCTTTCCTAGCGTCAGATATCTAGCTGTCAAGCATTTGTCTTTCGATCCAGATCATGTAGTCACTGCAGTCGTCGTGATAAGTTGTGTTCGAGACCGACGAATTTGCATTCACCGCGCTCAGCCTCAGGATGCCAATGCACGGAGCTGAGACGTGTTCAGCCCAGATCTCACAAGCCTCAGTACAGTAGAGCATATGCGGGGAATTAGACGTTTCTGGGGATCTGAGAAGAGTTCTCGGATGGCACGGTGCCGGGCGGTACTGGGCAATTTGACGATCTCGCCAACTGAGGGGTGGCGTTCTTGTGGCATCGCAAGGGAACCTCACCTATCGCCGACTCCAGCGTCGGAGCGATCGGTCAACATGGATGCGTAATGTCGGACTTCGCGGGGATCAGATATCGCGTTCGACACGTACAGCAGAGTCGTTCATGCTATCATGCGAAGCGCGACGAATGACACGTCGCGTCGAGAGGTTGGGTGGGGAAGTCGTGGCGTACGCCATGATCGTCGCCCAAGGGTGCTCGGCTCTCCTCACTGCGCTTGCAGCTGGCATCCTTCGTCCACGCATCACAACTCAATCCGCTGCCATAGGCCTCCGATCGCACCAGCCGCCTGCCCATCGACGTCCCGCGTTATCTCTGTTGACATCGTCTTGAAGATGCTAGAGTAGCTCGATGACGATGGCCGCTGGCCTGTCCCCGCTTAACCACATTTCTTTTTTGGCCACGGAAACTCTATCAAGTACAGCAAACACATGCCGAATTCACACCGCAGGTTTTGTAAACATATCTCGTATGCTGCTGATCATGAAACACAGGATCTTGAGCACGGCATCAGCATCTGCGTTGGGGGCTTGCTCGTCTTGACCTACCACGCTGACGGTCGTGCCACCGCCATGTATGAGAATTTAGTCCTAAGGCTATGACCACTGCAAGTACGCATTGCTTGACGTCTTCAAAACGTCCCGAGCGCACGGCATGCGGCAACAACACCCAGGCCACCCGAGACAGTCTTCCCGCCATACAGTCTCGTCCAAGGCATACTACCACACGAATCTGCTCGGACATTTTCTCGAGGTCCACAGGTCTTGGGCCAGCAGATTACATTGTGCAGCATTGCTGTAGCTAGGGAAAATGTTTGCTTTGATACGCAGGACTCATGCATTACAAATAAGCACTTTGCATTGCATATGCTACCGCGGCCACCAGCTAATTCCCCGGCTCTAAGTTATGGGTGTACGACCAGACGATCGATGACCATGCGACCAGATGGAGTATGCAGGTGACCCTTGACTGCATATGTACAATCGCAACCGCGCGTCCTTTTCCCCCATCAGTGAGCATCCCGCTTCTGCGGACACGATGCAATCTTCATGAAGCACACCGCATTATGCATTACTGCTGCAGATGGAGCGCATCATATCTTTGAACGCTTTGTTGACAGGAATCCGGAGCCATCATCTTGATGTGAACAGTATTTGGTCGTTTGCTTCGTTAGACTGTCTCACTCATCTCTAGGCCTGGATGTTGTGGTAACAAGCAGCTTCTTCGACTTTCGCAGCACCATGGAGGTATCTGTGGTGCCTCACTTTGCAACGAGTAGGCTGCTCTGAGTTGGTAAAGCTTGTTATCCTCAACGTCTTGCCCAGTTGCTGTGTCAGGCGTCACACTCGGAGCTGCGGGCTCGCACTTCTCACTGCCAGCTTCCATCTCGACAGCCTCCTCTCTGAATTTTCTTCGATCACTTCGTTTAAGTGCAACGTCTTTCTTAATATTTCCATCCCAACATTTTGTTTGCTCTTTACAATGGTTTCACGCTCACTCGTCCTTTCCAGGGCGGTTGCCTTGCGCTTTCCTCCATACAACTCAAACAGGAAACCACGCTAGTAAAGTGAGCGCGCTTGTCCAATCATCGCAGAGCGCAAATCACGCTCACCACGACTCTAATCTCCCCAAGCAGTCGACACATCACCTGTATTAATAAATCAGACTTTGACAATCACTATTTCACATCAGCCTCAGCTCGACTACTCTCGCGATTCTCTCCCAGTCGTTCGAACTATCACCAACATGAGTAGCACCGGCAGCATTAGCAGCGAGGCGAGCATAGCGCGGAGTGCCGACAAGGACGACACAAGCGACAGCTCGTTGCACCTTCCCGACACAGAACCGAGAGATGACAAGGAGCAAGTGGAAGGCGATGAATCCATAGTCGACGGGGCTGGTCGCAAGGAGGATGCATCTGACAAGGAGCAAGAAACAAGCGCTACGATCGATGATGCGAACGCATCCCACAACGAGAGGTTCGGCCTGGATGAGGTGAGCCTGGAGGGTTCTGCTTCGTCAGTTACAGTAACTATCCATTGTTCTGCATGCGTGGTATCTGACTAACCCTGTATTAGCCTCAGCAACTCTGTCTGGTTGCGGATAGCATCCTCGGCTCTATGAGTGGAGTGGAAACGGCCATGCTTCAGCTTCATGAATACGTCAAGACCGAGAACCAAGACCGCAAGCCGATCCACCAGTGGGCCAGATTCGAAGGCTATCGCAGCATTGATCGTGCGGTTGCCAATCTCGACGAAGCAGGCGCCAAGTTCCAGGATGTACATCTTCCTGCTAGCTTCGTCAAGACATATCTGAGTCGGGCTACCGAGATGTCACTTACTGCCAGCAAGGCCGCTGTATTCTGTATGGGCGCGATGAACGAACAATTCACCCGCTACATCGAGGAGACCAACGTATCGATTGACGCCGAGGCTAAGATTACGGAAGAGCTCAGGAAGCTTCTCAAGCATGGATCCAAGGCAACATATAGCGTGTATGCGGCTCTCGATCTACTCCGTAACAAGCTGCACATCGACGAGTCCAGTCACAGCCGCGATATTCCCATCATCGAAAAGCTGATTGCAGAGAGCGAGACCCGCTTGAGCGCCTCACGCGAGAGCTCCTGGTGGACTGTTGCCAAAGTAATGTTCGGAGCAGCGACAAGTGCCGTGATAGCCCTCGCAGCCGCACACAAGTACGGCGCCAATGGCTTGAGTTTCGCACTCCCGGCCGACTTCAACGGCACGCACTATCAGGTTCTTTCACTCGTCCAGCGTGCGCAAGCTCTGACCAACCTCACCGGCGAGCTCTACTCCATCAAAATTGACGATCTAGCTCAGCACTACAAGGAGCTCGAACTCGCCTCTGAGTCTCACGGTCTTCGAATCGATAATCTGGTTGAAGCACTGGGCGTCCCCAACGAGGAGGGTACCTACTTTTCATCAACGCCGAAACCAGGAATGGGTTGCACGACAAGGAACGATCATTCCTGCGTTCCAGATATCATGGCGGACGCTAACCGCCAGACCGAGAAACTGCGTAGCGAGCTGGAGCACATGCGCAAGAACATGCACCGTATGGACATTCGCCTCATGAAGCGCCTCGACAAGGTCGACAAGCGTGGTCTGTAGTAAGCATGAGCAATGCGAGCTCGAGCCACGGTAGTGGACCCTGGTGTTGCTACTGTACGCCACGACTCCAAAGATAGTGCACAGGGGCACACCGTCTTTTTGCTTCTTTATATGCGCACCAATACGGTACAGGGGTGGATCTGAGCGCTCGCATCCGTTGTCGTTACATGGCACTCCTGCATATAGCTGGAACATGTACGGTGAAATGGGCTGTCTTGCGAACTTCGGTCTACTGTGTAGCAAATGAAACCCCCGTCAAACTCATTTACAGTCTTCACAAATAGTGCCATCTGGATTTCTCTTGACCTCTACACTCTCGCTCGTTTGACCCTGCTCTTGATTCACCTCTGTCTCTTGCTTCGTGTCTTCTGCCTTGTCTTCCTTCTTCTTTCCATGCTTGTCGGAATGTCCCAAGTCTCGTGATGGATCGATGTGATCTCGCACCAATTGCTTCAATACTTTCGTTTCTGCGACACGTCAGCCACTCTCTACCACTAACAAGCTTGCGCTGAGATCACGAACCGGGAAATCCCCCCTCAGTCTTCCTATCCCAAAGAAGCACTTTCTTGGCTTCAACATTCTGACCTTCTTCCGTTGGCGGCATATATGTCTTGGCAAGTCAGTGGTCATTACGACAGACCTCATTTCCTACATACCAACTCAACAGTAAACAGTCCTCCCGTCGCAGGAATCAACGCGATCTCGCCGATCTGCAACCCAAATGTCGACAAAAGCTCTTGCCCAAACTGGTCGCGCATTAGCGAATGTTTCGCTAGCGGATATCACGGGAGAAGATACATAGGCAGCCCGCAACATCCACCGACATTGCGTGCAATAAGTAATCGCGACGCGCGGCAAAGCGACTGGGGCGGATTGTGTAGATGTCATAATAATTTTGAGTGTGTATGAGGGTTGGGTTGCTCTTGCCGTTTCTGGGGCGGAAGGAAGGAAGGGTGTCGCTTATCGATAATTTGGGTGTGGCGTCATCGCAGGGCGGGCATGCGAACGACTACAGGGCTGGAGACTGACAGGTTGCGCTAATGCTGTATGGAAAGTCTAAAATTTCGGTATATATAATGCGGGCATTTGGAGCATTATTCGTATTCAGTGGGTTGGGGAGGCATCGCATTGATGATAGATGTGGCGGGGACATTCAGCCGGGTAAGAGCAGAGCGAGCTGGACATTTCATCTTGAGCGTCAGTATTGCCATCGAGGTCAATCGTCATACCTGAGTGGCGTGGAATCTTGGTATCACCAGGGTTATGCAACTTCCAAGGAGTGTGTGTATTCAGATGCATGTGGGCTCAGCGACCTCACGGAGGACAGAGAGGAGTCTCGCCCACATCCAAGGTTGAAAAGCTACTGATGAGGGCAAAAGTTGATCAGAATACCCGCCCATCTTCGTCTGGTGCTGTACGATTCATATTTCAGGGTAGACTTATAGAATGTCTAGACTAGAATGTTTGTTGAGCAAGAATACCCTCTGCCACAAAGCCATTGTGTCTGCCGACCTGGATGTTTGTTCACTTGGCCATAGAGAAGGAGACCAGCTCGATGTGCAGCGCAACAAAAATGGAAAAAGAGCTGCAATGTAGACTGAATACCATCATCGACCCCACCAATCTCACCAATTCTACAGGGCTGTTCGACGCCGGAAATCCAGATGCATCGTTCGGTGTTTTCGGTGTTTCTCATCCCTGATCCGAGGGGAAGGTGCAGACAGCGGGTTGCTAAGGCCGTGCGCTACAGGGTCCAATTGTTGTAATTTGCGGAGACGCTCCCATACTTCACACATCGCGCGCCCAAAACACACTTCAACTCGCGGGTAAAGGTGTGATAATTTCTCCTTCTTGGATTCTTTCTCCTGTCGCCGAATTGGTCCACCTATTGCGACAACACAACACGTGTCGACCCATCCGCCTCTACCCCCCAATCCACGACTCCTTTCCTTCCGCCCATCATGCCGAGCCCTCTGAGCATGCTCTACTACGTCGTCCACCCCAATGAGCTACGGTCTATCATTCAATGGTGAGATACGACGCATCGCGACTTCTCTGCTCGCCTCCGGAGATCTGCGCAAACCTGAGCATTACTAACAACTTTCTAGGAAGGTATGGCACAACGCAGTACACGAGCGCGACGAATCGAAAGAATGCGAATCCCTCAAACGATGCTTCCACTTCCTCAACAAGACAAGCCGAAGTTTTGCCGCCGTTATCCTCGAACTGCACCCCGACCTTCTGGTGCCCGTCGCGCTATTCTACCTGGTCCTGCGCGGTTTGGACACAATCGAGGATGACATGACAATCCCTCTGGAGAAGAAGGAGCCGATCCTCCGCAACTTCGACGAGATTCTGGAGAAGGATGGGTGGAACTACACAGAGAACGGCCCCAACGAGAAGGACAGGCAGCTTCTGGTTGAGTTCAACGTGGTGATTGAGGAGTTCAAGAAGATCAAGCCCGTCTACCAGGACATCATCAAGGACATTACCAAGAAAATGGGCAACGGCATGGCAGACTACGCGAACAACGCCGAGTTCAACGCCGGCGTCAACACCATCAAGGACTACGAACTGTACTGCCATTACGTCGCAGGTCTGGTTGGTGAGGGTTGCACGCGCCTCTTCGTTGAGGCTGGTCTCGCGAACGCTGCGCTGCTCAAGAGACCGGAACTGATGGAGTCCATGGGTCAATTCCTCCAGCAGGTCAACATCACTCGTGACATCAAGGAGGATCTGGACGATGGACGACGATTCTGGCCTAGGGAGATCTGGTCGAAACACGTGGATAAGTTTGAGGATCTCTTCAAGCCCGAGAACAAGCAGCAGGCCCTGAACTGTAGCTCAGAGATGATCCTGACTGCACTCACTCGGGCAGACGACTGCTTGTACTACCTGGCAGGTCTCCGAGAGCAGAGTGTGTTCAACTTCTGCGCTATCCCACAGTCCATGGCCATCGCGACGCTCGAGACCTGCTTCCAGAACTATGCTCTTTTCCAGAAGAACGTCAAGATCACCAAGGGCGAGGCGTGTCAGTTGATGGTTGAGTCGACACAGAACCTGCAGCTTGTCTGCGAGGTCTTCAGGCGATATGCTCGCAAGATTGCGAGGAAGAACAACCCCCACGACCCCAACTTCCTCAAGATCAGCATCACCCTCGGAAGGGCAAGTCAAGACTGGTCCAGCTGAATGTACTCATACTAACAAATCCCAGATTGAGCAATTCATCGAGTCGATATTCCCGTCGCAACAGCCACCAGTGGACAAGAAGGCACCTGCCACCATCGAGGAGGCGGAGCGGAAACGGAAGGAGGACTCCGAGGCCAACTGGGACTTGGTCTACATTGTCGCCGCTGTCATTGGTACAGTTCTGGTCATCACATTTTTCATGGTACGTATCCCGACTATGCTGCTTTGACCTTGCTAACAGCTTTTAGCTCTTCGTCGCCTGGCTCTGTGGTGCTCGCTTCGATATCGCTTACGAACAATTCAAGATGGAGTTCGGCAAGCTGATGGGAGTCATGGGCCTCGACAAGACGCCTCAAGCGGTTACAGAAGTCCACGAGACGCTGAACAAGAGCGAACTATGAGCGTCTCCCACGATTCTATGTATCATACGGGCGACCAATATTGCCATTTAGGGAAACTGGGCATATATAACTTACTAATGTATACTTTTCGCGACATGTTTGAGCTCGACTGACGGTGAAGGTAATACCATAGCACGGATGTCAAATTCCAACCCTGCTCTTCCATAGCTGAGGTTGGGCCGTAGATGTGCTTATATTGAAACGCGTTTGCTCGGCGACGAGGCTGCTTGAGAGAAAGTTCATCGTGAACTTTGTTTCAAAGCAGTAACGTGGACATCGTATGAAAAAATCGAACACTTTTGGATACTAGAAACCCTCAAGATCTCTTCTTGCAGATTGTTGTTTGCAGCCGAACAGTAAAAAAGAAATTCTTGGCAACTCTTATTTCGTCTCCCTCTCGTACAATGTGCATGACTGAAAAGGTCAGCTAGTTCACATGCGCTGAAGTTAGTTCTGCTATGACATCAACCTGTTGCTTCTTTATGCCTTCACTGTGTCATCTCTGAAACTGCCCCGGGAGTGTAGCGCGAGGTCCGTGCCAAGCAAGCCTAAAGGGTTCACACGAATTGCGACTGCACTGCATATTCTGCCCGACAGACACGCCCGCCACAAACAGCCACCGCACACTCGACCTTTCCCTCACCCGCCGCAAGACAGGCAGCAAAAGCCCGCGACACGTCCCGTATAATCGCCCGGTGCGATTGCGACAGCCCCACCTTCACCTCATCCCGCCCACCACCAATCGCCTTAAATTACCACACGACCCGCTGCCATCGTTTTTGGAGCCTCTTTACCGCCCCATTACCACATACTCTCCCTAAAATCCCCAAACACAACCTCCACAATGGCCGAAGTTGCATCAGCATCGCACGCCAACCAGCAGGTGCCGCTGGACACGATCCCCATCTCGCCTACTGAGAACTCGGGCGAGGGCCAGGAACAATCCTCCACCACCAACTCCGGCGGCGAGGGCGAGATCCGCACCGTCTTCCACGACCCCGAGAACTTCAACGTCAAGCACCCGCTTATGAACACATGGACGCTGTGGTTCACCAAGCCCCCGAGCGGCAAGGTACGACAATGTCTGGCCTCGCCTATGGCTAGTTTCATGCTAACAGGTGCAGGGCGACAACTGGGCCGAGCTGCTGAAGGAAGTCATCTCGTTTGATTCGGTCGAGGAGTTCTGGGGCATCTACGTAAGTTGCGCTGCAGAGCAAGCGCAACCCGCAAGACTAACACTGGGCAGAACAACATCACCCCCACATCCGACCTCGCGCTCAAGTCCGACTACCACCTCTTCAAGAAGGGCATCAAGCCCGAGTGGGAAGACCCGCAGAACAAGCACGGCGGCAAATGGGCCTTCCAGTTCAGGGAGAAGAAGTCGGTCAACATCGATGCGCTCTGGCTCCA